ATATATATATATATACAGGTCCTTCTCAAAAAATTAGCATATTGTGATAAAGGTCATTATTTTCCATAATGTAATGATAAAAATGAAACTTTCATATATTTCAGATTCATTGCACACCAACTGAAATATTTCAGGTCTTTAATTGTTTTAATACTGATGATTATGGCATACAGCTCATGAAAACCCAAAATGCCTGTCCCAAAAAATTAGCATATCATGAAAAAGTTCTCTAAACAAGCTATTAACCTAACCATCTGAATCAACAACGTAACTCTAAACACCTGCAAAAGATTCCTGAGGCTTTTAAAAACTCCCAGCCTTGTTCATTACTCCAAACCGCAATCATGGGTAAGACTGCCGACCTGACTGCTGTCCAGAAGGCCATCATTGACACCCTCAAGCAAGAGGGTAAGACACAGAAAGAAATTGCTGAACAAATAGGCTGTTCCCAGAGTGCTGTATCAAGGCACCTCAGTGGGAAGGGAAAAGTGTGGCAGAAAACACTGCACAACGAGAAGAGGTGACCGGACCCTGAGGAGGATTGTGGAGAAGGGCCGATTCCAGACCTTGGGGGACCTGCGGAAGCAGTGGACTGAGTCTGGAGTAGAAACATCCAGAGCCACCGTGCACAGGCATGTGCAGGAAATGGGCTACAGGTGCCGCATTCCCCAGGTCAAGCCACTTTTGAACCAGAAACAGCGGCAGAAGCGCCTGACCTGGGTTACAGAGAAGCAGCACTGGACTGTTGCTCAGTGGTCCAAAGTACTTTTTTCAGATAAAAGCAAATTTTGCATGTCATTCGGAAATCAAGGTGCCAGAGTCTGGAGGAAGACTGGGGAGAAGGAAATGCCAAAATGCCAGAAGTCCAGTGTGAAGCACCCACAGTCAGTGATGGTCTGGGGTGCCATGTCAGCTGCTGGTGTTGGTCCACTGTGTTTTATCAAGGGCAGGGTCAATAAAGTATGTTACACAAATCAACAAACAATATATCAACTTTCAGGTAATTTTTTATGCAAATACAAGCAAGTAAACCTATTCCCGAACATCTACCAAACTATCTCTTTGAAACTGGGGATTTGTGTCACCTCAGTTATTATTGATATTTTGGGGCCACTAAAAAGACAAGTTTATATAAGTGGTAATAATGAAACTAAGTTAAAAATGGTCCACAGTAAGTACAGCCATTCTTTATTTCCACCTCCACAAAAAACCAGAGGGACAAAGATTGGAATCATCTTAGCAACTAATAAAGATAATCTTTAGTGTAGGCGTGTTTTTGTACTCTTAATTTCAAGCACTCAACAGTTCAAATGTTAAGAGCTGTTACATCCACTTAAGGGCTCATTGTTGTTGTTGTTTTCTTGCAGAAACATTTTCACCTTGTCAATGTCAGAAGAGCCTCCCTGGGAACCAGACCAGTGCGAGAAATTGTGAAATTTCTATTTCCTTTCCCAACCTTCTGGTGTTTCCTATAAGCATTAAACCTTTGTTTTTTTAAACAAAGTAAAAAGTGACAGTCTGGACATGCAGTAAACCTGAGCACCTTTGTTTTTAACAGCAGATGGCATAATATGACTTTTATTGCAAATTTGACCTTTTTGTTAACTTTACTGTATTTCCACTGGAAACATTTCTGCAAAACTTTTTTTTTAATTTAAGTGAAAGATGTTTCTAAAATATGTTATTTAGAAATGTGAGAAGCTCAAATCAGTCATAAGCTGAAGAATAAAGATTGATTTAAATTGAAAGAATTTTTAGAATGAGAAATAAAAAGTTAAGATCATCCATCCATTCTTTTACCCATTTCTTCCTTTATGAATCACTGGTGCCCATGTTTCCAGTCCATCACTGTGAGAGAGGTGAGGGACACCTGGACAGGTCTCCAGTCCATCACAGGGACACCTGGACAGGTCTCCAGTCCATCACAGGGACACCTGGACAGGTCTCCAGTCCATCACAGGGACTCCTGGACAGGTCTCCAGTCCATCACAGGGACACCTGGACAGGTCTCCAGTCCATCACAGGGACACCTGGACAGGTCTCCAGTCCATCACAGGGACACAGAGACAAACGAGACAAACAACCATTCACTCTCTCACTCACACCTAAGGACAATTTAGAGTTACCAATCAGCCTAACATACATGTTTTTGGTCTGTGAGAGGAAACCGGAGTAACTGGAGAAAACCCACGCATGTACGGAGAGAACATGCAAACTCCACCCAGAAAGGCCCCCAGACCGGGATTTAGACCAGGGACCTGCTCATGAGAGGAAGCAGCTCTACCAGTTGCGCCACCGTGCTGTCACGCAGCAGGTGCTAAATAATTTAAAATAATTCATTTTAAATAAAAATTTCATGCTGATCGTGCAGCTCATCCATCAGTCAGCCAATTGTGTGTCATATCCACTCTTATTTTGAAAAACCATGATAGAGCTAATCCACAATAAACGAACCGCGAAGTAGCAAGGGACTACTGTATATCAGTGTATATAGTATATATATTGGGGGAGTGGTGGCGCAGAGGTCAGAGAAGTTGGCCCTGTGATCGGAAAGTCACAGGTTCAACTCCTGGTACCGTCAACATGAAAATCTGGGTGGTAAAAGTGAAACACCCTCATCTGCTCCAACCCTCACCATCTCTTCCCATAAACAGGTCTCTCTTGAAAATGAGTCCTCGTGACTCAATGAGACTACCTGTATAACTAAAGGGTAAATTATATATGTTTAAATATATATATATAAACAGCACCTTTTATATCAGTGAGTTATTTTGGTGGAATGGCTGATGTCTGATATGTAACTTTATCGCTAATATCAGCCGATACAATACCATGTCGATAATATCGTGCATCCCTGTAATCAATATATTTGATCAGTAGCACTTGGCTGCTACTTTCCCTCTCAAATCCTTTGAAAGCATCATGGGTGAACAGTTTTTTGTTGACTAAATGATGACATGGTGGACTTCTGTACACTTGAGGTTAGATTTAAACAATGTTAGAACCTCGTAAAGGACATATCACTTTAATATGTTCTGAGGAGTATAGTGTGCTCAGATCTGAGTGAGCAGATCTACCTTCAGGGTCCATGCTGTCCGTGCTGCTCTTGTTATCCTAGTGGGCCACGTTGGTCGTATCTCACACACATTGTGGCTCCATTAGCTGCAAGAAGATGCAAAGAAGTGTCATTTATCTTAAGCCTTGTCCATCATAAAGTCTGTCCCTCCTCTGATGCTGGTCACTCACTCCAACACTCAGGGGTTTATTCACAGTGCGCTCACAGCGGAGTGTAAGGCTACACAGATACATTTTCCAGAACTATTTAAAGCTGTGTCTGGTGATTCTTATGCTGGCTGATGATTTCATCAACATCTTCACTCTGTGTCTTTATATGATGTTGCATTTGAGTGTGAAATATGACGACTTTTTTTTGAGTAGTTACTAACTTCATCCCTCGGCTTTATGTTTCACACTTTCCACCTCGGAGTTAAATTCAACACGTTTATGTTTCCTGCCCAGAGTGGCACATCCCTCCAATGCCACTTTTTATGACTGTTTGTTGGAACAGGTTCAGCAACATTGATGTCTAATGACTCATTTACTGGTATTTATTCTTTCAAACACAGCTGCGATCAGGTTCATGTAAATACAACCATTACAGCTGTTTCTTTTAACGTCACAATATTTTGTTGATAAGTCTCATTTTTTAGAACAACTTCTCCTTAAATGTTTCTCATCTATAAAACACCAAAAGGTGAAAATAACCCACCCAAACACCAACACACGCAACTACATAGTGGCCACTGTCACAGCCCAACAGTGCTAAAACGTCTTACGTTTCATATTCCACCCCCGTTATCGCAGGTGTCACACATGTTAGTGAGTCACAAATCAAAACACCCACTGCACAACCTTACATGTTCAGCTGGAATAATATTCTGATTAAGAAGAAAATACCAATATAGGACTTGACAAGATTAAACAAAAAGGCTTGCACATTATAAAATAAAAAAGAGCCAAGTCGTGAATACTCAGCGTAGTCCTCTGAAGGGTTTTTACATCGACCAACTGTTTGGAAACAGATTATTGTAAATAAAAATTGCAAATATTCTTATCTCCTGCTAAAAAAAGGCTCTTTTATACAAATAATGTAACCTTAAACATGAACATTAAAAATAAACCTTGAAGTCTCAGTGTGTGTTGAACTTTACCATTTAACTCTAAAAAAGTTAAATCTGGTCCTCTGGACATTCAAAAAACAAAACAAAGCAAAAAAAAAAAAAAAATGTAGAAACGTTTCGTCTTCCATCCGAAAGACTTCCTCAGTCTGAGGTGCTGTATTCAGCTCAGTCTTATAAATAGCACCTTCTCAAAGTGGAAAACACAACGTCCCAGTGGCTTTTAAACCCCAAAATACATTACGGCAAAGACTGGTTCATCCCAAAGGTCCAGTCCTCTGGCACAAACAGAGTAATATTGTGTATGCTGTTCAGTGTCAGGAGGGCTGTGATCAGTCTTACATTGGGGAAACTAAACAGCCACTGGCCAAAAGGATGGCCCAGCACAGAAGATCAACATCATCAGGCCAGGATTCTGCGGTCTACACTCACCTCCAGGCCAGCGGTCACTCTTTCAGGGATGAAGATGTTCACATCCTGGACAGAGAGGAACGATGGTTTGAGAGAAGAGTAAAGGAGGCCATCTTTGTGAAAAGAAATCGTCCATCATTAAACAGGGGTGGAGGCCTCCGTGTTCAACTGTCCCCCTCTTATAATGCTGTTATTGCTAGTATCACTCAGCCCTCTGTGAATAGTGAACAGCCATCAGTGTGCTAATGATCCATCATTAGGCTGATGGTCCTCCTTGACCATGTGAGCAGCTGGTTTTGGTTGTCAGCAGCAAAACTGGTTGATCCACTCTGAGAAGGTGCTATTTATAAGACTGAGCTGAATACAGCACCTCAGACTGAAGAAGTCTTTTGGATGAAAGACGAAACATTTCTACATTTTTTTGTTTTGCTTTGTTTTGTTTTTTGAATGTCCAGAGGACCAGATTTAACTTTTTTAGATTTTTCTATCTGGATTATTGAGCGTGCATCAGGATATTTACCATTTAACATGCTAACAGAAACAGTCAAATGAAAGAAAAGTAGAAAATTCAGGACAATAAATAATCAACTTGAGTAACAGTCTACGCAAAACAATTGTTTCTTCGTAAACGTGTCGAGCGAAGCGTCAGTCAACCTGAAAAAAGATCAGGCCAAGAAACAAGGAAACAAATAAGGCGAGATCCTGTCAAGGACGAGCTGAAACCAAATGTCTCAAGAGTATATATAGCCTATACATATGCTTTTTAAAGAGTGGCTGGTGTGAACTAAAGGCAATAAACTATAAACATACCTTCATCTGTAAAAACAATAACCAGGTTGTCCTTCAGCTCTCTTCCACTCACGCTAAACATGAGTCAAACTGAGGGAGTGAGCGCTCTACCTCTATTTCCTCTTGTGAGAAGGTGTGTGTTCAAGTAGTGATGTCTGCGTGTCATTAGTATGCAGAAACAGTGTCCAAGTGCATGAATCAAAACACGTATGTGTCTAACCTATGGATCACTGACTCAATGCAGGTTTGGTTTAAAGCGTATCATATTTTTTAAGTTATTTTTCCTTCATGCTGACCACACTCATCAGTCCAAAGGCTCCAACAGGATTGAAGTGAGAATGATTTAGCTTTAAATAGTGTGACAAAACGCAGCGCTCAAACACAAAGTTCAACTTTGCTTCACAAGATGAAAGATCTTTAAACACAGGGTTTCGGGTGCCATAAATATGTTCTGTCCAGCTCACCGCTCCACTTGCGGTTTAGTTTGTTTCTCTTACGGGCGCCTCGTGAAGCACCTATTGCTTTGCTTCTCTCAAAGAAACGGATCAGAATGTATATGTCAGCATTTATAAACTTTACACGATAATAAGATGCTGATATGCCCTCTGTGATTACCTCAGACAGAAACTGTTAGTGCAAGCAGAAGCTGACACACTTCCTTGTTGTCTAAATGAGTGGGTAGATGATGCACTATATTTAGCCAGCAAGGCAGAGAGAGGCTGAACTATTTTTATCTCCATGTTGTGCTTGTGGAACTATAGTTTAGTAACGATTTTAAAATGGATCACTGCAATCATTTCAAAAGAACTGCGGCACCTCTGTTTGCAGAGAATGTGATGCCTGAATAGTGAGTCTACTAAAAATGTTGAATGGACACAATTAACCAGTTACATTGCAAAGACAAGTAAACGTGTAACAGATGCTACCATACTAATGCCACATCAGTCTATATTTTATTTTCATTTTCAATATTTATTGATAATTTTTATTTATTGAGTTCAAAGTACGCCTGAACAATATTAAACAAAATATAGTCTCACAAAAAGTTCTTAAGGGTGCCAGTACATAAGCACTAAAGCATTCTTATTACTTTGTACTATTCAGACACTATCTTCCATTTCCATCAAGATTTTTGATTTGCAGCTTATCCTGCAGCTTTTAGAAAACCCCACACAGACATACTGGTTCTATCAGAAAACAGTGGTGAGACTTTTGGCAGCAGCACACTCTACAGAACAGAGACAACGTGCAAACAAATGTCAATTTCCTGTTTTCACTGGGAAAATCCAGTTTTTGGATTTCTACTGCTAGGACATATTTCACAATACAATAATCCATCCATCCATCTAAGCGGGTAAAAGATAATAGATGGATGGATGGATGGTTAAACATCCATTATCTTTACCCGCTTATTCCATTTTTGGGTCACGGGGGTCGCCGGTGCCCATGTCCAGCAATCACTGTGCGAGGGGCGGGGTACACCCTGGACGGGTCGCAAGTCCATCACAGGGACACATAGAGACAAACGAGACAAACAACCATTCACTCTCTCACTCACACCTAGGGACAATTTAGAGTTACCAATCAGCCTAACATGCATGTTTTTGGTCTGTGGGAGGAAACCGGAGCACCCGGAGAAAACCCACGCATGCACGGAGAGAACAAGCAAACTCCACCCAGAAAGGCCCCTGGACCAGGGTTTGAGATGGTTAAACAATGGCACATTATTTGATGAACGTGAAGGAGGGTGGAATGGAGGTGGAAGAAAGACTGATTTTGAGTTTCTTTTGAAATGCTGAGAGCTGGAAGAGTTGAAAGCTGCACAAGCTGCCACATCTAAATAGTTCTCTGATTTTATTGTTTCCCAACTCTAATCCCTGGTTTCTATTTTCTACATTGATCTCAGTTCTCTATTTCAATGAGCCTGATCCTCTAGAAATGTCATGCAAACTTAACAACTTGGCTGATGATATCATCAACATCTACATTCACTGTCTTTATATGATGTTGGGGTACCACAAGGTTTCATTCTTGAACCTCTTCTTTTTTCTTAATACCTGCTGCGACTGGGTGCTATTTTTTCGCAAACATGGTATAACCAAGGGGTCTGCAACCTGCGGCTCTGAAGCCACATGTGGCTCTTTGGTCCCTCTGTAGTGGCTCTTTCAAGCTTTGACCAAAACTAACATAAAACTGAATCTTATAGGATGTTATTAGCCACAACAAAAAACGACTAGTATTAGCAGTTTTCCTGTCACTTCCTTTGCAAATATGTGGATACTAGTACTAATACACAGTGTAAATTATACTCCCTTTAACTTTATGCTTGATTTCTTCAAAAATGATAAAGTTTGTCCACAATAAAAAAAATACATAAGCCTGCACAGTTCATTGTTTTAGTTTTTAAAAATTGGCAAAATTATATATATATATATATATATATATATATATATATATATATATATTTTTTTTTTTTTTTTTTTTACAATAATCCAGTCTCTGTTTTGGACTTGCAGTGTTCCCCTAGTTAACTTGCCATGGGGGGTGCTCATCTAATCCATGATTTTTGTTGATGGGGGGACGGAGACGTGTCTGAGTGCAGCTTACCAACAGTTTTTGAGTGGGGGGCGTTCAGCATGAGGGAAGAGGCTAGAGCGCCTGTATTGCGCACTCCTAGCTTAGCGACACATTTGAGTTGTGCACTGTTTATACAGACAGTTTATGAGTGTGTGTGTGTGTGTGTGGGGGGGGGGTCAGTTTGAGAGAAGAGGCAACATGAGCACTGCCTTTAGCTTTTTAGCTAGAGAGCCTGTGTTTCACGCCACTAGCTTAGTGCTATGTCAGTGCCAGGTGTGGGGTGGGGGGACAAGTTTGGTTTGGTAGGCGGGGTGCTCAGTTCAGTTGACGGGGTGGGGCACCCCACTTGTATAA